AAACTTAAGTTTTGTGACCATATTACTTCTATGGTGAATAAAGCCAGGGGAGTACTTGGATTTATTAAAAGGTGGTCAAAGGAATTCGATGATCCCTATGTTACAAAGACTCTGTTTATTTCACTAGTCCGTCCAATCCTGGAGTACTGTTCTGCAGTTTGGAGTCCTCAGTATGGTGTACATATAGACCGGATAGAGTCTGTGCAAAAGAACTTTTTATTATTTGCTCTACGGGGCCTTAACTGGAATGCAAGCCTTATTTTACCATCCTACTCTAGTAGACTTCTCCTAATTAATCTACCATCCTTAGTAAACCGTAGAACGATGCTTGGCACAACTTTTATCTATAAACTTATTCACGGGGATGTGGAGAGTCCCGAGTTACTGGGTCGCATAAGCTTCTCCGTGCCTAATAGAATTACCAGGAACTATGTTCCTCTTACATTAAATATTTGTAGATCTAACTTTGATATGCATGAACCGTTTAGAGTACTGTGTAACGACTATAATAGACTATACCACATTATTTCTACTACCGACTCTTTGCCAAGCCTAAAATCATTAATTTTATCTTACTTAGCACAAAATTAGTATTAGTATTTATATTTCGCTTAAAAACTAATTATTAATTTTTCCTTATTAAATATTATTTATATTAGAATGTAGAAACATAATTTTATTTATGCTTTCTGGATTTTTTGATACACTGCAGCGTTTTTCAGAAATTAAGTTTCTGGCATCAGAAAACGCTCTCTCTCTCTTTCTCTCTCTCTCTCTCGTAATAAGCGGCGCACAAATTGTATTCTGAGTATTCAGTCAATTCTATGCTTCATTCATTCATTCATTCCGTTTTGCACACACATTCATTCAATGCCATTTCATACGAATACTCAAAATTGCGCTTAAATGAGAATACAGTGCGATGCGAACTCGATCAGCTGAATGCGTTGTGCTCAAATAAGAGTACACAACTCAAGAGTATTGAGAGAGTACTAAAATTTGAGTGCAGCCGTGCAGCTCTCTAATACGAGTTAAGAAAGGTTAAGGAAGAATCTACTTAATCTTCACGCAGTCACCATTCCTAGGTACACGTTTGCCAGTTGTTGCTCAGCCGTAGATGCATCCAGCCAAGCTTACGGATGATGCATTTACATTCGAGCAATCGAAAACGGTCAGGCTCATTGTCCATTGCTAGCAGCGAAATCGAGAGTGGCTTCTCTAAAAACAAAAACCATACCAAGGCTTGAATTATGCGCCGCCACATTTTTTGGCACAATTTCGGTCCTACGTCAAACAAGTTCTTGACAAATGTGAAATAGAGAGTGTATATTTCTGGACAGACTCAGAAATAACATTACATTGGATAAAGTCTCAACCTTCGTCACTTGCCGTTTTTGTTTCAATCAGGGTAGCCACAATTCAAGAGCTATCAGAAAATATATCCTTGCGACATGTCCCTTCGCAGTTTAATCCAGCAGACATTGCGTTCCGTGGCTGCGATGTAAGTGAATTGACTGAGTCCATGGTTCGAAGGTCCGAAATTTCTGTATGAAAATGAGTCAAAAAAAACTGCTATCCACGCTCAGACATCTGTTCTGGCAGGCGTGGTCCAAGGAATATGTCCACAGCCTTCAGCGCAAAACCAAGTGACAAACTACATCGCCCAATCTGGAGGTCGGAGCCTTGGTAATCATACACGAGGACAACACTCCACCCCAGCGTTGGATTACCGGCAGGGTCATCAGCATGGTGGCAGCAACAGCAAGCAAGACCGCAACAGGCGTATTTAAGCATCCTATTCCGAAGCTGGCTCCCATTATATTGAAGACAGGTCCTTCAAGGTGGCCGGAATGTTGAAGCGCAGAACGCTAATCATGAAGTTTATGTTAAGATACACATAAGTAACAGCTTAAGAGAGCCCAACAGCGTTATTTCAAGCGTTATGTTCAGCGTTATCTATGCTAAGATCGGATTCAGCGGGCCTGCAAAGGCTCTCACAAAACTGCTCTCCTGGGGTTGAATTTTGAATATCGAATCGGCCAATCTTGTGTTCTCTCTTCCCCTAAATTTTGCAGCAGCCAAGCCAAAGTCTTTTCACTTTTCGGCGGTCTCAATTATTAATAATAATTTTCGTTTCGATTTTCTTGAGATGTGAAAACTACTCCTCTGTCGCTGACGATGCGGGATGGGTATCCAAAAACAGCTGACCAATCCTTAAGTCTTTTAAGAACTTCATCGCTGTTTGTAGTCTTCGTTGTAAACAGCCAGACAAATTTGCAAAGGCATTAACTAATGCGAAAATGTATTTGTTCTGCTTGCTCGTTGCATCCATAGGTCCCAAGTGATCTATGTGCAGTGGGTGTAGTGGACAGTCCCCTTTTTCTATGCAATAAAGCTGCTTTTCCAATTTTTTGTTGGCTATAATGCACTTAATGCAAGATTTTATAACTTGAGCGACCTTGTTCTCCATATGTGAGATCCAAAATTGTTTGCGCAGCGAGTGCAACGTTTTTCGCAGTGAGAAGTGTCCCATATTATGCGCATCGGAAAAAATTTTATGTTCCAACGTTTTTGGCACTACCAACAGGTCGTTCCTGTCAACGTGCTTAAACAAAATACCTCCCTTAAGTTTTAAGTCTTTTTGGATACGAGATTTTAGAATTTCCAAAACCGTGCCAATAAATTCATCCTTCTGCTGGGCGACCTTGATGCGAGCGGAAATTTCCGAAGTGATCGTGTAAATATCCTGAGGATAGCGGCTGAGTCCGTCAACGTGTTTCATCCTATCTGCTGAGCGATGTTCGACTTGAAAATTAAAGTCCTGTAAATACAGTATCCATTGCGCTACTTCGCGTGGTACATCTGTTTTCTAGACTGTCATCGTAAATGCAGCACAATCTGTGACAAGTTTAAATGGCATTCCCAGGAGGTAGTGACGAAATTTATTAACAGCGAGATATGCGGCTTTTACCTCCAGAATGTAGCTGTGGCTCATGTGTTTCTCATCTGCTTCTGAAGACTTCTCTCTGCAGCACAAAAGTAAGACTAGCTTCGTAGATAAAATGTATTTGAGCTGATTAATTGTTGTTTTTTCACGAGTCTTAAACTTGAACATCTGAACATCAATCTGATCATTGATCGCATCTCATTGTGGAGGAGAGTAACGGCTTTTCTGATGGCAGAACGACTTCATCTGAACTGGACTGATAGAGGGCAGAGCTAACGGTTTGTACTCCTCAATTATTTAAACTGTAGGGGAACATCAATATCAGGTTTTGGGTCAACTACTTAGCTCGTATTTTTCAGCGGTGTATGGCCGAGCTGATGCCTTCTGGAACGTGAATCCTTCTCCGTTAAGAGACACACTAAATTGTGAAGCGAAATCGAACCCAAGTAAAACATCGTTTTCCATGTTTCCATCAGGTACAACCAGGAACAGTTGCTCTGCTTCGTTTCCATCGACGTATACAGTCGCGATTTCCAAGACGTCGTTGCAGCGCTGTTTATTCTTGATGACGTTCACTTTCCTTACGGCCTGTGGACAGTTTGTAGAAATATGTCCGACACCATCACATTTAAAGCATTTTGTCTCTGTATTGCAATCCTTTTTCATGTTTTGGGTTGATCCGCAATTTAAGCAACGAGAAACTTTTTTCTCACCGTACACGATTTTTGGACCTTTATTGTAGTGTCGTTCCTCTCCCCCACTTCCATACTTGCGTTCATACACGTAAGATTGTTCTTTCAATTCTTGATACGATCGACAATCGTACATATTAAACTTATATTCCTTTTTGATGTCCAATCCGTCCACTATATATCCGATCACAGATTGCTCGTCTAGTTGTCCCATTACTGCGATCTTCTTCATGTTGAGTACATATTTATGAAAGTTCTCGTCTCTTTTTTCATTCTCTCGGCCAACTTTGCATGAATATCGACGCTCCGAAGGACGCGTTTAAATTCCGCCGTTAGAACACGTTTCAACTGATCATAAGTGCTGACCAAAACTGATTTGAGGAAAAGTTTTGCCATTTTCGTCATTTTTCAGCGTGCTTGCAATTATTTCTGCTTCTCACTCAATTCATATGCTACTGCATTTTGTTCAAAGTTTGTGAACCACTGCTCCACTGGTATTGTTTCTCCGTCGAAGCTTGGAACTATTTGCGAAAAATTTTCTGCTGTAAGTTTAGGTTCATTCTGAGATCTTTGGTTTATTTCATCAGCTTCAATTTTAAGGGTGAGCAACTGTATAATTTGTTGCAAGCTTCTGTTGTTCATCTCGGCCATTGCGTTGGAGTTTTCGAAAGTACAGTTGTGTATTGAATTACGTTCTCCTTCTTATGTTTTCCGTTTTTTCTCTATGCCTCCTCTCTTCAGAATTTTTAAGTTTGGTTGAGCCCCCAAATGTAATAAAGTTTTATTGTTTATATTTTATATATGTTAAATATGAGTTTACAAAATTGGTACAACTTAATTCTCCGCGACATATATCGACTTTTTCGACTTCTTTTTCGTATATTCCGGAATTGATTCACGACAACTTCCGTCTGCTCATTTTGGCTACTTCTCTTATATTGCCACTTCTCTTCTGTAGGGCAGCCAACCTGCAGCAACTGATCTGTTTTTGAACGAGAAAAGATTTATTCTAAAAATTAAAATTATATTAATGTTCTAATACACTTTCATCTTGCTCTTAGTCAGGCTGATTCTTATTCGGTCTGAATATGAAATTGTCTTGGCATTGTCTTATCCTTTCTCTGAAAGCTCGTTATTTTTCGGTTTGTTCATATTAATTGATATGTCGCGCACGCATCGTCCCCCATAAGTGTAGCTTTTGGCAGGGGTCGTTGGGATGGTGATGCTATAAAGAGAATTTTTTTTTTCCTACATATGGGATTTTTGGTGTCTGGCTCTTCCTAGAGTTCTCAAACAAACAGCATGAATGAAGGGCGTGCCTTATTCCTTGCAATTTTTTTATCGCTAGCAGTCGAGCTAGGCCGCCTTTAAGACCTTTTCCCTGTATGGGCATATAGTTGGTATTACAATGTTTTTAAGACTCGTTTTACACAAAATGCGCTATATGATTCTAAAACTGCGTCCGCTTGTCCAGTAATTTTACAAAAGAATCCCCTAATATTTTGGCCCCGTTATTTTTTAAAACACTTTCTATGCTTTTCTTCTAAGATTAATATTCCTGAAAAGTCTCTAAGTAATCAGAGTGTCAGGTAATATATCTAGTTCCTTAAGATTTTTCGCTAGCTTACACATAATTGATTGAAATATATTTTTGGAAAATCTTCGTTCACTACTTAGGTTAGCTTCTAAAACACTTTTTATTTTTTCCTCGACTTCTCCCTGATGATTCGTCTTTTATTGCGTTTGGGTCTGTACACTAAATCTTTATCAGTCTTTTTGGTTGTTAAATTAAAATTTTTTATCTTTTAAATGGTCCGCCAGGAACAAGTTTTTTTAGTACTAAGTATTAAGCATTTTTCGGCCGCCACTTTGTTGTAGTACTTCCTTGTTTCGGTGACGATTTTTTCGGTCGTGATTTTTTTCAAAGATCTACGCGAAACGCGAAACTTAAACACAGACTTTTACCAGGTACCTGCTCGAGCGACAGTTACTAAGTTTTATTTAAGACTAAGTGCTGAACAAAAATTGATTATATTATATATATACGCCGTTCCATCGCTGTCGCCGTATCTATTAATTTTGTTGTTGTTGTTGACGTTCTCTGTTGTCGCATATATTTTCTCATAATCGTTGCTTTGGTTCAAGTGGATTGAACAAATTAACCTAATTTATTATTGTAAAGATTTCTGCGCGTTTTAGCAAAAGTGTGCACTGATCATTCCTAAAGAAGTAACAAAATAAATCGGGTTTTCTTTTGAAGAATTATGCGTATCTTACATATCTTAGTGTTTTTGTGCTTAATAAGAGATAAGAGGGACAACAAGGAGGGCCATAAAACTAAAAATCAGTAGAGTAACTAAATATACAACATTATAATATTTATAAGATAAAAATCGTATTATAAAAAATAATAGCAAAAAAAAACAGAAATGCCGGTCGTAAGCGTTTTTTTTTTTAAGAAACACATTTTTTATAAAAATAATTTTCGGTATGATTGAATTTGTATTAAATTTTCGGCTTTCCGAAGCCAACTTTCATTTCGTTAAATTTAACTTTGAAATTTGATTTTGTTTAACAGTTAGATTTTAACTGTACAAATTAAAATTAATACAAAACAAGAAAGGAAGCAAAGGAAGCCGACGTTTAAATACTCTTGCAGTTATTACAAAAAGACTACATTTCGATTTCATTGCCTATATTACTAAAAACAATGAAGCTATGCCGATTTTGCGCTGGATGCTAATTTGTATACCCTTGCAGAGGGTATTATAATTACAATCAAATGCTTACCACGCAGTGAAGGGGACATTTCCGACCCTATAAGGTATATGTATTCTTGATCAGCATCACCAAGAGAGTCGATCTGGCCATGTCCGTCTGTCCGTCCGTCCGTCCGTTTTTTACGCAAACTAGACCCTCAGTTTTAAAGCTATCTGCTTGAAACTTTCCCAAAAGTTGTCTTTCTATTGCAGGTAGTATATTAGTCGGAACGAGCCGGATCGGGCGACTATATCATATCGCTCCCATATACTCATACCAAAATTAACCCTAAAAACCAGAAATTCGCCTTATTTTTGACTTTAAAGGCATCGCACCATAAATTGTAGGGTAAATTTTTCTAAAACTAAGGGCGTTCCTTTCTAAAATTTAAGGCAAAGAGCCCTAAAAACAAGAAAAACTTTTCTAAAAAATAGAAAAATATTTCCTAAAAGTAGGGCATCTAGCCATACATTTTAGGGTATTTTTTCTAAAAATTAGAAAAAATGTGCCTACATTCATCATGATGTAATTTTTCATTCAGGATTTATGGACTTATGTATATTTATGTATGTGTATATATATGTACATATATGATTTAAGCACTTCGCTTTTCATTCAGAAAAGTCACAAAGTTTGTATTAGTATTGCACTAATGAATTGCCAATATCGATTTCAACTGTAATTCTGTGGGGAAGAGAGAAAAATTAGTACAATTATGATTTATTTCAGTTCTTACTAGTAAAATCCGATAAGTATCTTATCCGAAAAAACTTTTAATTTTATTCGTCCGTCGGTGGGATTCAAACCCAGGTCTCCCGCGCGTGAGTTCAAGGACATTGAATGGAGCCACGGTAGCGCGCGAGGAGCGCATGGCAAATCAAAGTCTATATGATGGGGCGTTTGCGAAGAATATTAGTTTAAAAAAGTTTTTAGAACTCGTTAAGTCGCAACTGAGAAAGTCGAAATATTTAAAATAAATTTTCTAAGATGATATTTCATATGACAAAAAATATTTTTATTACTTTTCCATAAAGGGTAAAACCTTTAGTCGTTCTAAGCATTACTTTTCATCTGTGTTTATAACACAAGTAAAAAAAAAAGAAAAAAGAAAGATGTCGGCAGCTGAAATTGAACTTGCAGTGCTTAGATTTCTGGTCAGACGTTCTAACCCCTAGGCTACTCAGACAGGGTTAGAACAATTTTATGGTCATTTTAGAAAATGTTTCCTATGTTATAGAAAATATTTCTATATTTTGGGATTAATTTCTATTTTTTAAAAAATATTTCTATATTTAAGAAAGCGTTTCTATTTTTTAGGGTTATCGAATTTTTAAGGTTAATTTGAGAAAATTTTTCTATTTTTTAGGGCAGAATTTCTAATTTGAAGAAAAAAATTTATAAAAATAAGTACCATTTTTACTAAAATATAGAAATTCTTTCTTGGATTTAGGGTGAGTTTAGTTTATGGCGACAATTTCTACATTTGAGAAACACTTTCTTGATTTAAGAAAAGTTTTCTTGTGTTGAGAAAAAAATTCCTTGAAAATAGAAATCTTTTCTTGGATTTAGAAAAAATAAAGCTTTAGGGCGAATTTCTAAAATTTCGGGTTCATTTTGCTATAAGTGTAGAAACAATCGTAAAAAGAAATTCAAAAAAATGATAACTTTGTTGTCTTTAATTATTTTTGTTTGTTCTTAGGGATTTGGTATTATTTAAATATTATGGAATTACGGTTTTAATTTCGGACAATCGGACAACAATATCATATAGCTGCCATAGAAACGATGGCAAAATGCAGAGCAAATCGATATAGCTTATTGTTTTTAGTAATATAGGCATAGAAATCGAAATGTAGTAGATTTGTAACAACTGCTAGGGTATATAAACTTCGGCTTGTCAAAGTTGGCTTCCTTTCTTGTTCTATTTATCGTTGTCGAAATTTTCTTTGTCTTAGTATGCATTATTAAAATGTATAGTATGTATATTATGTTATATTATATTATATTGATTAGTTAAATTAGACAAAACATCTTTTTGAAAAGAGCTAAGATAAATACATATGGTTAAGCCCTGGTCCCTTAGGTACCAAATGAAATTTAAGGTCAAGTAGTTAGGTTTGCCATTAAAATCAGTTCAAGAATGAAAATTTGGGAAGGTCATAAATTTGATCCAAATCTTTCCGGCTTTTGGGGAAAATTTTGAGCTCAGTTCGTTTTTGGGGCTACCAATTTTTTTATGTTTTTAATTACAAGCCGCTTTTTAAAAGAAAATGTTATCATTGTGTTGCCGAGTGGAAATACTTTTTACATCACCCAGGTAAAATAATTTGAAACCTTCTTATAAAGCTAGGTATTGATTTTTGTATGTCATGACAAAAAACTGAGCTAAGAATTTAAATACTTTTGTAGCCATTGCTACTAAATAAATTTTATCTGGGAGAAAATTATAAAAAAGCGACAAATATTTGATTTATATCAAAACAATGTCAGAATTTATCAAAAATCAAGTGCTTAACTAAAGCGCAGCGAAGCTTTTTAAAGCCAAATGCTACTCAACAACTTTTTTATTGCGCAGTTGAAAGAAAAAGCTAAACGCATTACTATGAAGGTTGTGCAAACGCATTACTAAATACCTGAATAATTTTTCCTGCTTTGTCACATCACTTGACGTAGCAACAGTAATCAATCCGCCAACAAACGTAGTGTACGTTAATATTCCAATCACATACATTTTCAATTGCCGTGATAATGAACTTTGTCTTCTGCAAGTCAGGTTTAGATGTTCTATAATAATAATGAATAATTGTGAAAACAACATTAAATGTGATTGTTTTTGTTTTTCTCAATTCTAATTATAAGTGTTTTTTTTACGAGAGCGCCAAGTACTTAAAGTCGAAGCTTATATACCCTTACAATTATGATAAAAATATATACATATGTAAGTCTATGATACGATATCATTAATTATATGCAAAGCAGTTTTTTATTTATCAAATAACGTATGGTAAGACTATCGAAAAATTGCCTCTTACTATGCACTCTTATTAAAAGTTGAATAAAATGGAACAATTATAAATATGACTTTTTAGATGCATTTTTTAATTTTAAGGAGAAAAAAACATTTACAACAAATTTAATAGCACCTGTTATTATATGCTAATATTCTTTTTGACCTTCAAATTTAAAATAAAGTATTATTTAAAGGACAGTGCAATATGATGAGTCCTTATGATTTCAATCCAATATAATAGAATGAAATTATCTAAAGAAGTTATTTCGTTCTGCCAATCCAAAATTAAAATTTCTATTAGACAATAATACAACTTTTTTTAATCGATTCTTATAGCCAATGAAAGCAATGGAAACATTTGTATCTTAATAGATTACTTTAATTTTAATAATTACATATTAATCACTACAAATTTATTTACTTCTTTGTAAATTTTATACTAAGTGTAAATGTAGTAGTAAAGTAACCATTTTCGACCTTATAAAGTATTTAGTCCATTTCTTCGCAAACTAGTCTTTCAGCTTTAAAGCTTTCTGGACCCTAAAAGCCTATTTCAGATGTTATATAAATCGGAAAGGAGAGGATGAGTATATCATATAGCTGCCATACGATAGTTACGAAGTTTTTAAACATATACGCATAAAAAAAACAATTAGGATTAGAAATAATACTTGATTTGATGAAATTTTGTATTAACTTGGTCATAATACTTGGCTTTCCACTTTGATATGTTTGAATGCCTCCATTCCTGTCTTTTTCAATTTGAGAGAATTTTTGCAGATCGAAAATTCCATTTTACAATATCAATTTTACATTTTAAATGGTAAAAATAATACGTGTGATTGGCCTGTATTTTTAAAATTTATATTTTTACATATTAAATTATTATTATTTTTTTATTGATAAACTTTTTTTAACCTCTTAATTATTGGCTTAAAGATATTTTATAAAAAGATATTTTATAAAAATATCTTCCTGGAGGAACGGTTACCTCCCAAACGCAACCTTTTCATATTTTTTCGTTAAATTAAGATGCCTGGTCTATAAAGGTTTAAGTTTGTATGGACAATTATTTCTCATAAAAACGTGCGACTAATGCCCTTTTACACAGGCGGTGTATCTGCAACAACGGCTGCATATGCTAGAAAGCAACGGAAAAAAAGATAGGAGGATAAACTCATATTTATGAGGAAATCCAACAGGATTTTATAAATCAAGAATTGGCAGTCAAAACATCAATTATGAAAGTTAAGATTAATCCTTGGGTCTAGACTGCTATAACTAATGGCAGTTTAAGTAGAGGCAATTGAACATTTCATAAGCTTTTTTTTCGGTATTACCAGCAATTCGGCAACAGTAGAGGATAAATCAAAAGCTGCGAAAAACATGCTAATGTTTAAATTGTATTTAATTTTTTGTTATTATCCATTTTATTGACTGGAAACCTCAATTTCAAGTTAACTTCCTTCTCTTTTTCGGTTTGTGTGTAAGAGGGAACGTATTAAGACTGTTTACTCTCCACGTCCTTACGGAATTCCCTGCGACTTGATTTGGTAATGCGATCCTTGGATTAACTTCCGAAAAGGCCCAACCTCCGATAATTTTCTGTTTAGGGCCCTGATTTCAACTTAGCGACGTGGAGGGTTTCTTGGAAAATACACCACAATACCGTTTTTATTTTTGTTGCTAGTCTTGATCTCCCAAATAAAACCTTTATCAAAATTAAGCAAAAGTTGTAAATCTAGCAAAAGTTGATAGTTTTGGAGAAAAATGTAGAAAAGTTGAGCGTTCAAGTAATTGGGCTGAGCGGGCTTCAGCGAAGTACCATAAAATCATAGCTCAATTATTCATCTCAATGGCTTTATGCTTGACAAAAAATTGGATTTGATTTTATGTATAAGGGGGAGTTAAACATTTTAGTGCATATATATTATATAATTATAAGTAAATTAAAAAAACAACTGTTAAATTTAAATTGTATTGATTCTTAATTTCTTTGTACAGCGGCATACTGGAAAGATTAAAGCTTTTACGCTAGCGGACTCGTTTATCGATCTGAGTACTAGGCTTTAGATGCCAAAATGAGAACCTATCAAATGTGTTTGTAGATGTTAGCTTTATATGATTTTCCTATATTTTTAAGAATTTGCTCTTTTTAACCCTTTTTTATGTGTTCGTGGGTGGCAATATATGCTTTAGAAAAAGAAATTGCCCGCAATTGCCTGCCATAATTATAAATATTTAGAATTAATTTTAATTAGTTCTAATTTTTTATACCGCTCTTAATAATCATAGCTTATAAAGATAATCAATGCAGTCAATAAAAAGCCTGCAAAGTTAATCAAAATAGACAGATGAATTCGCGATTTGAAAAGTTGTATGTTTTTACAATGCATTTAAACTGTGTATAATCGGGCGGTCAGTTTGGCAGATATATAACACCTTTAGGCTAAATTGTCCGGTTCTACAATTAAGTTTTTATAAGATACGAAAAAGTCTTTAAGTTTAACAAACTTGATACAATATTTGCTATGGTACATATTGGATATATGTCAGCGTCTGATTTACGAGCGTCATAAACTTGATTAACTTTATATTTATTGGGCATTCATACATACATTTATAATAATTAACTGTGTAGCTATAGTTACATATCTTCAGTGACACTTAGACATTGTACACACACTTAAGATTGCAAGCAATAACCGAAAGACCCCACTCATTGCCTTATACTGTGAAGTAAATACGTAAATTTCGCACATTTACTTGCCAAATAATTGTATTTTTTGTTTGTAACACATACAGCCAACTGTTTGGCTCATATCAAGAAAACGAATGTGTATTAAAACCGATTACTTTATGCATTGTTGCCAAATAAACTTAAAGTTTTACGTGTGATCTTAAGCTTACCCGTTGACAGAAACTAATACCTAACATGTGAGCTGTTGAATCGAGACTACTTTTGGAATCTAAGCAAATAAAAAACACGCCGCTTTTCGCTGTCTATCAAGAGCGTCACCTTAGAACCCACTCAGCCTTGATCTTGTTACCATTACAAACCATTTTCTATGGCTGTGTCACTTTAAGTTGTATAAAGTATGTAAAAGAAACATGTAATGGTTGAGTTTTTTATGATGTAATTTAACATGAACTATAAAACATAATATACCTATTAAACATCGATTATTTAATGCAGAAAAATTTGATAGTGTACACTTGAATTTATGGTCACTTCTTCGATATAAAAATAATAAGTTTTCATATCTTAAAAATTAAATATACTTTTAAGTTTTTGGTAATTGTGCTTATGGTTTTAGTTATTTTATAACATTAATCTCATGCACATTTCATAAGATTAATTTAATAAAATAAATATGCTTATAATAAATTAATTGAATCCAATTGAATAAAAAATTTTCGTGAATAGATAATTTTAATTTAATATAAGTAATGTAAAGTGAAATAATTAGTAAATAAATTTATATAATTTTAAAATTTGTAATTGGTCTATGTAAAAAAAAAAATAATTTTGAAAACATTCATATCATGTGTTTTTTAATTTTGTTATTCTTTCCGTACGTGGCATCACAGGAAAAGTCACTCGATAGCGCAGGCGGACAAAAAACAGAAGAAATACTTACTGCTGCACTGGTCGCTCTTATTCCTAGGGATTGGTGCGAAAACGGCCCATACTATTGCCTGACAGCGACTCAGACAGGATCCAGTACAGAGAATGGACGTCGATAGCTCATCTCGCTTTAGACAACAAACTCAAAACCAACAAAGTAGATGAAGAAAAAGACCCAATATATTCGAAATCGTATCCATACCCGTGGGTGTCCGACTTTGTAAATACAGAAACAAAAGCCATGTTACGAGACGCCATAATCCGACCATCTCGGCCTCCGTATAATAACCCTGTTTGGGTTATAGATAAAAAAGGGACCGATGAGCAGGGGAACACAAAAAAACGCCTAGTAATAGACTTCAGAAAACATAACTTAAAGACGATAGACGACAAATACCCTATCCCGAATGTAGTTTTTATCCTGGCAAATTTAGGGATGGCAAAATACTTTTCCACATTAGGTTTGAAGTCTGGTTTTTGCCAGATACTACTCGCCGAAAACGACAGAGAGAAAACGGGAGAGTAGGAAATGGGAAATATGAATTTTGCAAACTGCCCATTGGATTAAAGAATGCACCCAGCTTTTTTCAGAGAGCCATCGATGATGAGCTCAGTGAACAAATAGGGAAATGCTATATTTACGTCGATGACGTAATTATTTTTTCAAAAAATATGAACGATCATGTGAAACACATAGCATGGGTCTTGGACAAATTATATGAGGCCAACATGAGGGTTTCGCGTGAAAAATCTAATTTCTTTAAAGAAAGCGTAGAGTATTTATGTTTCGTAGTTACACAAGGAAGCTTAAGAACATGCCCTAACAAAGTAGAAGTAATTCGTAACTACGAGCAACCAGCCACACTATTTAATGTTAGATCATTCCCTTGATTAGCAAGTTTCTTTGGGTATTTTATTAAAGACTTTGCATCTATTGCAAAATCTATAACTGAAATCCTAAAAGGATAGAATGGAAAAGTAAGGCCAGGACAATCAAAAAAGAGAAGCTTAAGAGCTTAAGAGTGTTCTCGCGAAACGAAAGAGAGTTGTTGGCAATTGTATAGGCCTTATAGAATCTCAGGAATTACCTATACAGCGTAAAAACTTTAAACATTTTCACTGAATACCAACCACTAACTTTCGCCGTCTCAGATCGAAACCCAAACGCCAAAATTAAGCACTGGAAAGCTTTCATTGACGAGCATGGACCAGCTTCAAATAACATTCAGGCAAGATGGTACCCTGTGTTTCGAGCGCACGCAAAAACTGTCCGGCTTGTGGCTCGTCGGCTATGGCTGTGGTGGTCTTGCTCGAATACACGAATGCCCATTCATAATGATAGAAAAATAAAATCGCGTGCAACGATATCTATACGGGACAAAGAGACACTCACATACAATTACCGCCGAAAATAATTACTACGACGTTCCTGCCTCCTTTCATGCCCACCCTTCCAATGGTCGCTCTGCCCAACATGCTTCTTAGCCTGAGCGACCCCTTTTGAAGTGCTACCCTACCAGTGCATTATGCTAGCTGCGGCCTACTTACGTCTTTTTTTTAAACATTATAAAAGATTTATTCACGATTTCAAATTTTGACGTTTTCAATGTGCTGGAAAATGTACATATGTAAATTATTTCTCAGGCTTGTGACTTTTCATCCATTTATTTGAAAACTTAAATAATAAGAACAAAATTTAACATAATTTTTTTTTTATTTTCGTCGGCGTATGGGATTTAAGCTCACTGGAACATCTGAAACGGGATTAGGAAGAGTATATGTATGGCTAAAGCATAAACTAGGATTTTTAAATTCGAACAAAAATTAACAAAATGGCGGACCTTTGAACATTTTTTTTTTGAAAATCGCCTTCTGTTCAGCCACAAATCAAGGTAAAATGTAAAGAAGATATTCACCGATTTGATTTGTCCTAGTTCATGCTATAGCTATATATGCATAGAAAAACGTATTAAAATTTGGAACCGATTGGATTAATACTTTTTGAGTAATCTCCTACGCCATTCGTAAAAATACTGTTTCGAGAAAAACGATTTTAAAATTTTGAAAAGCTATGCCGTCGCCCGAGGCTTCCAAAATAAATCAGCTATATCTTCAACAGTTTTTGAAATATTCACTTGAAGGAACATTCTTAAATAGTTATAGGTTCGAATTAAATAAAAGAAATCGATTTTTTGAAACCGAGAATGGGGTGGTCCCCTTAAAGGCTAAAATCAAACTGAAGTCTAAACAAAATAAATGACAAAATAAATAGATATATAAGAACAAGTAAATGTAGGTTTGTAATATAAATTTTGATTAACAAGTTAAAATTATGATTTGAAGTATTTCACCAATTTGAATGAGTTTGAGGTGGAATTGATTCTCTTTGGATTACCGCCATTCTGGCATTTTTGGGAATTTAATTAGGATTAATAAACAAAAAGGTGCGAAGTGTGGGAGAGTTGCAATCGCAATTAAATTAGTGTAATTTTTGTTTTTCTCTTCTATCTTTTTCTTTTCCTCTTTGGAGGGTTACAAATTCTACGCCGGCTTTCTTTATCATCATACATTTTATTTAAAAACTTGGACAATTCACTCACCGGAGAATCTCCTTATCCATCGACGAAAGCGCTTTCTTCGGGATAACGAAGTGCTGTTTGAAATATAAAAAAAATATATTTTTGGGTTCTTTAATATAACCTGGGAGAAGGAAAGGGGCCACAAAAAAGAATACAACTAGCACACCTCCACACTATTTAGTTTCCTTAAATTTTCTCATTTTTTCCACACAGATAACAAAAACCAGAAAAATTCCACGGTCACATTGCCACTCACAGATTATAAAAAAAAATACTTATTATTCTTTTCTTCTTTTTTTTAAGGTTATTTAACATACATTTATCACTACATTTTTTTTTTCTTGATATGGATATTCCATGACCGGGATTAAAAGCCCTTTTGCCCATGGGTGGCCACCGGCCATATTTATACTTTAGTTATATTTGATTAGGCCGTAGGAACTCGATGGCCCGCACCGACACCGTCGTATACGAATTGGGAGGAATGAACTACTGCATAATTCGTTCAAACCTATTTCCCCTTTGGGTTTTATTTCTTTTGGCAAGTTCGATCGCCTCTCTCCCGAGAATGTTCGATACGTGGATTATGCGGATGTGTAGAGATTATGCTTTTTCTCTGAGGGTCAGGTTTTGGTTTGGGGTCTTAGATTAAATTGATGAAATGCAATTGGAAATTATTCAATCCAGTTTTAGCCGCTTCTGGTGCTGCGACTTTTATTGCGTGTTTGATGCGCTGCTGCGCCTGCGCCGAAGCTGTTTTGTTGCATCCGCCCCTCTGGGACCTCGAACTTGCGCCAAGTCGTTCGCCTAAAAACGCACAAATCTCAAAACACTGCTGCCTATTTTAGGCCTAACTCCATTCTTTTTTCACTCACCCCTATTGCCTTTGCTCCACACTCAAGGAATCGCACTTTTCCCTTGGCGGCCAAGATTTAGCCTCTGCGCTTACTTTCACTTAAAATTCGTTGCACTATTGAACTTATCACTGCCGCTGCCAAAAAGGGAAAGACCGATCCCCACGCCGGAAAGTTGGCGGTAACCTCGACATTGACCGATGGTGGGATTTCGGGGAGCTTCTTCCACAGGCAGCTTCTTCTACGCCTGTTGCCCCCTTACACCACTGAGATCTAGATGGCGCTAGCAATGCCCCGACCGCTTCCTAGATGGAACCACCAAAGCATCTTTTTCGACGAGCAAGCGCTACAAGCACAATCCACAATTTTTTTACAAACCAGGAAAAGAAAACCACGTCGCTGGTGCGTTGTCCCGACAGCACATCCACGCACAGTCAGATATTGCCACAATACAATGCGATTTACCACTTACCTACACTATCAAAAAAACGGACAAGCCGGTCAACTGCATTCGGAACCAAATAATAATAGAAGAAAGCGGAACTGCTTCAGTTAGAACGGCCATTAAGTTTGGTGAAAAGACTCGACATCTCTTATTTTTCTGAGATAGAGAAACCCCCATACAGAGAGTATGCGAATGCAGAGTCAATGCAATTTTTTGCGAACTGCTAGTACTGGCATTTATACAGCATAAATTAATAGAAACATTTCCGACAACCACTTTCCGTTACACGAACCGCATGGTGACCGACATCTTAGACAAAAATGAACAAAAAGAAATTACGGTGTCAGAACAGAACAGGGCTCATAGAGCTGGTCAGGTCATCCAAGACTATTATTTTCCCAAATTGACTCATATGGCGAATGAGGTCGTCGGAACTCTCAGACACAGATTCTCGGAGAAACCCTCATACACAGGCGAAATATTACATATTGACATTTTTTTGACCGACAAAAAATACTTTCTTACT